CGATTACATTTGTTGAATCTATAAACTTGAGCTTGCATATAAGTGGTGAAGTATAATGCCGCAGGGAAAACTCAAAGTTAAGACAAAGCTACCGGCGGCGGCAAAGGCAAAAGCCAACAAGAGCAAGAAAGGCCCTGCTATCCAAAGACGTGGAAGTAAGTGAATTAGGAAAAAATAAGCTTTCTTGAATCATAATGATATTGAGATTATGGTAATATGCTGTATTCTCTTTCTCAAAGATGCCCCTGTTCAACCGAAGAAGACAAAGTTGCAAGAAGCGCAGAAATTGAAGAAGATGATCTCAAAGACGGTGAACACCGCGGTGGAAGATGACTTGCGAGGGAGAGCCTTAGAAGGAAGAAAAACCCTCAGAAAGAAAGATCCTTCCAGTTCGAAGAAACAGTGATACGTTAAGTGTTATAATACCTGCTTACATCAGTAATACATGATTTACGTATGTACGTATCTTTCTTAATTAAAAGATATTGTTCTGTTCGATACTATTTATTGGAAAAGGGATGTGGTCACAGTGAGGAAAGTGAAGAGAGAATTTCTTTCCATTTATTGCGCTCGCGTAACTGAAGCTTAGTTTATATTTAAATAACGTTTATAAATTACTGACAAGCGCGAACTCACCAATCCGGTCGGTTTTATCCTTCTTCCTATCAGAATAAATATTGTTTAATAATATTACCTAATTTACAAGGAAATATTATACAGGAGGCCTTATGGCACTCTGGGCCTTCCATACTTTCAACAATTCTGACGTAATCTGTACGTCGGAATGAAAGACCTGTATACTGTCATTTTATCACCCTTTCGTGATAAGGTGACAAAATCGCCGGAGTAATTTAAAGATGTATTAAAATGTCATATATTATCTCTTCTTAATGTTCTGTTGCGTATTTTCTAAATCACATTGTGTTAAGGCTGCTCCAAACATCGTGGCACCGGTTCTTCCGGTTCTCGAGAGATCCTCTTGGGATAGTTTTACGGGGAAGCGACCTGAAATTCGACGATTTAAAACAATTCCGACGGACAGACGATTGCTCGAAAGGATTAGGATTATTTCGGGATGTCGGATCTTTACCACTAATAAATGTCCACTCTCTCGATTTTTACTGATCGCCGGAGTGGCGCCGGTCCTAACTTCGATGACTCCCTCCTTACCGCTGACTAGTTTGTGGGACACACTGAGACACATGACATTGTAAATATTAGTAGAAGTAGGGTAAAAAGTAGCAAACAACAGATTAGCCAAATTGAATTTTCATTGAATATATCATTAAAGGGATAAATATAATGTTGAAAAAATTGGATGGGAACTTACGATTCGGTATTGACGATTTTAAGAATATTCGGATTGGTGATATCGATCGCTTTCGTTAACGCTTCTATTAAATGCGGAACTTCCAAGATCAAATCACCCTGTAAAGCAGAAATGCGCGGAACTATAGATCACCTGTTTATATTTATTGATTTTAATAAATCACTTAATTTTAAATTACTTTTCACTTCGAATTTAGTTTATTCCAGTTGCTAAACATCAAATTATTTATTAATTTTCGTATTATATCATTATAAGCAAATGATTTATCATTTGCTTATATATTTTTTTTATTTTTTACTGTTAGCTTGAAATAATTCTCTTTAGAGTTAAAGATATTAAGATTTTTATTGAAATTCTAGGTATAAAAACCTTGTCCTTTTTCAATTCGGGTGGTATCCTAACGACGAGTAAATTATCCGACTCCCTGGTAACGACCAACTCCTCGATAGCCTTGTAAGGTAGACGATGCTTAAGCTTGAAGGTTTTAAGGGTGTCGAGAATGTATACGGCATTCTGTGTTAAAATGAGTACTCTCTCGCGTGGCTTATACCCATGCCGATCGTATTTAATGACGGGAGTGGCGTACTAAAAGCATGGATTGTAATTTTAGGATTTCCATTTTATAGAATTCATTGTAAATACATATAGTATGAGAGAAAAAAAATTAGTATTGCAATGACTTATCGCGAATTTATCTTTACCTTTATGTTTTCTCCGGATGTCAAAATGTTATTCGTAAAGCTCTGTCGCAGTGCTTTGTACTCCTCACCGAGACGATCGGTTACAAATCTCGGACCTACACTCTTTGCGTAAGATTTCTTCTTATTCTTGAACAAAGACTCGGCAAGAATCTTTAACTCAAAATGGTCTTTGTCCTCCTTGCTTAACGCCTTTCGATAACAACGGGCTTTCCATAGCATATGCATTACGCGCAAATGCTCTGATGCCTGTGCAATTACATATATTTACTATATCGTTTATTATGCAACGGAAAATGAAAAATTGATTATAGAGCAATGTATACGTATAAATTATACAACTATACGGGCAACGTATTTTCTATTTTGCTGAGAATTTTTTACGCAGAGAGCCGAGCTATTTCTTATTCCTATTTCGTACCTCTCGACAAGAATATGGACATGGCGGCCAGTATTTATTTAAGACACCCGGTGGCAACGCCTTCGAAAGTCTGATGAGCCATTGCGATTTCGCCAATTCAATAAATGCCTTGTTAATCTCTGTAGGCGGTCCATCCCGTGTGATAAAGCCTTCGATAAATCTGCATCAATTTAGCATAATAAATAT